CACTGCTGAGGGGAGCAGCGGGCGGGTCAGGAGAGGTCTGCCAAGCTATGTGGTCACCTCTGGGGCAGGCGGGGATCGAACTCATGCGGAAGTGGCTTTCAATTGTTAGTGCTGTGCTTTAACCCTCTGCGCCACCAGGGAGAATTTAACATGGAGGCCTAAACAGGTCAGATGTGTCCTCTGAGGTGCTAGAGATAGCAGCTCCTGTCTGGCTGGGGGCAGTGGCAGAGGTCGGGGTCTAAGGCTTGGAGCTGCCTGAGAATGGGAGTCAGGTGCTTAGAGGAGGTTCCCCAGCACCAGGGTTCTGAGAAGGGAGACTCAGGCCTCTGAGGTGGGGTGGGCATCTCAGGGTGCTGATATCCTCAGAGGCCTGCTAAGGCTGGTGTTGCCGGTGTGTAAAAAACCCAGAAACTGGAACTTGTTGCTGACTGGGTCAAAGGAGCAAGTCCTTTCATCCTCCTGCCTCGGGTACATTCTACTGTCAGAACCCACTGGGGAGCTGGCTGGTAAAGGAGAAACTGTGGCTTAGCGTCCCAGCCCCAGCGTCACCACGTGGAGCGAGGACAGTTAGTTAGCAGAGGCTGAGAGACGCGAGCTTAGTCACCAGCCCGGTATCGCGCTTCTAATATAGCAAGCGCAGCTCTGGAACACACATTTGGTTGTGAGAACTGCAAAGCAGAGACATTAACAGCTTTTCTCTATGTCACTCAGCAAATTGGCAGTGTCATAAAAATGTGTTTTATATTTATCCATATTTAATTCAGCTAACTGAACACCAGCTACTCAGAAAATAAGGAGTTTCTGAGTTCACAGCACAGGATGTTGTACCTGGTGGGGACACATTTCCTTCCAGATGTCCTAGACACAATAGGACAAGCATCGTCGGTTTAACCTAATGATTGCCTTGGTCTACTCGACCTTCAGCCGGAGGAGGGAGTCTGGGGAGGTGCACAATGTGGACAACCGTAGCTGGTTGGAGGTCTTCAGGGCAAGGCGTTCACTCCTTTGGCATATCCCCTAGTTGCCGTGTGACGTCCTGGGAGGCAGCAAGTGCTTGCAGCTGTGGTTAGACAGCTCGTGGGTGGTCGTCAACCTCAGCAGGTCCTGGGACTCTCTGCAGCCCCTCTGCATACGTCAGTATAATGTAGCTCTAACTCCACACCGCCTTGTCCCTGCAAAGCCCAGTGTGCATTGCGGGAGGCCGTACCAACTACAGCTGATAATTTTTGCCATCCTCCTGTCTGAAATAAGCAAGCACTTGGGCAGGATGCTCAACAGACAAGCTGAGGGCGCCGGGGGATGGGAGTGAAGGGAAGATGAATTCTCTTTCCGAAGAAGTGAAGGGACAGTGCCTGGGGGTTGCGGGTCTGGCTGTCTTCTGGAGACAACACCCAACTCAGGGTAAAGACTGTCACGGGTGGCTGGACTGGGGTTGGATGAGAAAAATGGAAATGTACAGGGGTCCTGTGTCCTGGGCAGGGGGGGTGGGAGGCTGGGGCCTGGTGGGGCCCTGTCACAGGTAGCAGAAGGTGGTTGGGGACAAGCACTCCCAAGGCTGGATTGGGTTCTTGGTTCCACGGTAACACCAGCCATTCTCCCGTGTATCACTTGTAGTTAAGTTGTGGCCACAGACGGCATCCTCACCGAAAGCCTGGCGTCCGTGTCAGATGTGGTGTCTACTTTCTTCTGGGCTTTCCTGTTACCTTCTGTGTGACTTTGGGCAACGAACGCAACCCTGAGCTATTATCCGCTAGTGGCGAATTACACGTCCTCCGGCAGCTCCGATGGGAAGAGCTGCTCTCTGTGAGTGCGGCTGACACACTACTGTGGTAGCCCAGTGGGGTGGGGGGGTGCTTTTGTCCTTCTGCATCGCTCTTTGGGGTACTCAGTGTCGGGAGGTGGGGGCGGGGGCGGGCGGCCTGCGCTTCTCGGCCCTGAGCTTTGGAAGAAGGGCGCAGAGCTCTAAGTGGAACATACCCCCAGGAGTTATTGCAGCAGATGTATTTGCTTCAACTTAGCAGCAGCCCGGTATGTGTGGTTGAAAGAAACATTTTATAAATATTGAGTTGCTAGAAACCTTTGGAAATTATGACTAGAGAGGAGAAGTGCTCGCGATGGAAATGGCTTTTGAGTTCGGGCTCTGAGCAATTTGAGGGTGACTTAATGGAGAGATGGTGGCATCAGTCCTGGGGAGGCAGTTGCCTGGGCTCAGGCCTGGGGAGGCAGTGCAGGGGAGGCTGAGCTGAGGTGGGGTGGGGACTAGGTGGGAGAGCTTGTCGCGGGGGAGGAAGGCGAGGCTAAGGAATCTGAGGGCCCCTCCAGAGCTGCCGAGCCTTCTCAGGCAGAGAGGTGACCTGAGGGAAGGGTGGAGTCCTCGGCGGACCTGCAGCCTCTCTGCAGCTGCCTGCGTAGTGAGACCACCTGGAGAACAGAGGAGCCGCAGAAATGCCAGGGAAGAATCTGCGCGGAACTGCAAGGAAATACTGACAACGTGGTGATTGGTTGTGCATGAAGGGAGGGGAGAAGGAAAGGGAGAAAACAAAGCCAATTCGCAGCTTTTGAGGCTCAAAGATTCGCAGCTGCTTTAAGTGTACATTCCTGGGCTGCTAAGTGCTCCGAATGAGCTCCCTGCACTGTTGCTGCGGCGGCAACAGCTACTATTGCTAATTACTACAGGATAAAAATTATTAAGACCTAAGTCTGGACCTAACTCTAACTCTGGGTAGTGTGCCCAGAGCTTAATGTGTGTTAGATTTTTAATTTTTTTAATCATATATTTTTTAAAAAGATAAAATTATCTTTCACGCATACAGAACTGGGGTACAGGCCAGAAGTGCAGGGGTGGTGAGGATTCACCAGAGACAGAGTGGGGAGCAGAACAGGCAGATATGAAGTCCACTGCTGAGGGGAGCAGCGGGGAGTCAGGAGAGGTCTGCCGCGCCATGTGGGTCACTCCCTGCCTGGGGATTGAACTCTAGCTGAAGCAGCAGCTAGCTGCTCCTTAACCCGATGTGCCACCAGGGAGGGCCCAGAAGTTTTAATCCACATGATATGAGGTCCTCATTCACTAAACATCTTTCTGAACCTCTTCGTTGTGCTGTGTCACTCTTGGGGGAAGAGGATGCAATGTTCTTGCCATATTGAGCTTGTAGTCTAGTACATAGTACATGTAAATGAGCAAGTAAATATCGCAGTCTGTGATCCAGTGGTGAAAAATACGATGCTAGGAGAGATGCTAACAGAGAAGCCTCATTCAGAGAATGGTCAAGGGAAACCAGATTCAAGATGAGCCTGAAGGATGATTAAGAACCAGCCGTCCATGAGCAGGTGCAGGCCATTTCATTACGGGCCGCAGTCAGGCAGAGCTTGGCAAGTTCCATAGCTGGCAGAACTCTGTGTCTCGGAACATGGAGGAGAGTGTAGCACCTGATGTGGAGGTGAGGGGGCAGGCAGGGCGGAGAGGAGTGTCCTTGAGCACTGCAGGGAGGAGTTCGCAAGGTTCGCAAGTATGATGGGAGACACAGAGGGATGTAATCAGAGGGACATGACCTGACTTACGTTTAAGAAGATAGTGTGGAGAACAGATCAGAAAGAAGTGTCATTAGAAGCAAGCCGACTGGGAGTCTGGGTACTTGCACAGGTAAATGATGATGGTACAAAGTAGAAATGTACAATGTGGGTTTGATTTTGGCATAGAACTAGAGCAGAATTTGCAGGTGGAGAGAAGGTGGGGCCGAGAGAAGGGGAGGCGTGATCGCTGAGCCATTGGCTTCAGGAACTGGATGCAGAGATGCTAGTGTAGCAAAGACAGGCCAACGGGGTTTGGGAGAAAGAGGAGAGCCCCTTCCTAGACCTGCTGCCTTTGGGGCTTCTTTCTGAGTCATGAACACGGCGTGCTTGCCTGCGGTTAAGGTTCATGTGTCTGAAGCTCAGGCAAGTGTCTGAGTCAGAGATGGAGCTTTTGGATTCACTGGCCTAGAGTGAAGTGGAGTGGGTATGGGTAGAGATTTGGCCCAGGGCAAAGCTTTCGAGGCCACTCTTGAGGAGGCCACAGTAGAGAGGTGAGAAGTAAGAGGTGGGGTGGGATTGTAGGTCATAATGGCGAGTGAGTGAAGTGTGTCAACAAGGACTGTCCTAGGCCAGTGGTGGCACCATCAAGGAGGGTACTGGATCACCCCACGGGGTGGGGGGGTGTTTGGGAGCTCTGAAGTCACCCTAGGGAAGTTCTGTGGACTAGAGCCAGATACCCGGGCGAAGAGGTGGGTGGAAGGTGAAGCAAGCTCATGTGGAAGGCTGTCCATGGCTCCACTCCACATATGAAGACCAGAGGCCAGCGGGACTGAATGACCCATCCCCAGGCAGCCTGGAAGTAGAGGGAAAACCTGGGTTTTGAGCCCACATGGGTTGGACTCTGAGGCCCATCCTCTTTGCCTCTGTGCTCAACAACTGTTTAAGTTACCCTTTGAATGAATTATTTATTTTCTAATTAGTTCCTTGTTTCTCATTTTCTCTCACTTGGTTGCTTTCACAAAATGGTCTCTGATTAACATCCAAATAAAGTAAACACAGGAGAAAGCCAGGATTAAAAATGAAATGATGATAGATAAATCAAGGGAGTTCGAGAATAAAGTTTATAAATATATTCATTGATTGTCTCCAGCTTTCCTAAAGCACATGCTAGGATCTTCTGAAATGAAGGATGTTTTATTCTTTTTTTTTTCCTATTAAATTTAGGCCTCAGGCAATACCTGTAGAAATGCTTTGAAAAAAAAAAAAAAAAACAAAAAGCAAAAAACAAAGTAAGAAACCCGCTACTGCCTCTGCTGTGTCTCCTGGTTTCTTTCTCCCCTATCCTGTCATCCCCAAAGCTTGCACCTATCTCATTGGGACCTGAGTGCTTCTTGCAGGCTCTGAGGCTGCCCATCTGCAACCTCGTTCCTCAGTTTCCCCACTGAAAACAGAGGCAAGAAGAAAGCGAGCAAAATTAGATCCATTTAGCGGCAGGTAGCATACTACTCCTTAGAATTGTTCTCAGGCCTCAGACACAGGCTGGTGAGCTTTCTTAGCCAATATCCAATCCCTGATCATTTAGCTGTCTGTTTGGGAGTTCTTACCTTGCCGACATACAAAGGGTCGGTTCCCGTGTACTCTTCCAGAACGAAAAACTGGTTCCAAACCCAGCTCCTCTTTGTTCGAGAGTGTGACTGTGACTTGTCTGACAGGAAGACTTGGAATTCGCCTCGTGGTGTTGATGTGCCCAAGAGAACACTGGTGGTGAGATCCATCAGTCCCCAGAAGTACAAGGACACGCCGAGTCCAAGCCAGCTCTTTGCATTGCTCATTCTACCAGAAGTCCACATGGGATCGCCAGGTTTCCGGAAAGTAGGGTACAAGATGTAAGTCGCTGGAATTTGAGTATTTTCCAAGAAACCGAAACCAAACCGAACCCAAAAACCTCAGTGTTTTTGGACACTTATGCTTCTCAAGTGAGCTCCTGGTTCAAGTCTGCTTGAAGTTGACTTCCTGTCAAGTCAAGAAAAACACAGTGTGATGATGTCAAATTCTTTCCTGTAGGCTTGTAGCAAGTTTTCAAGAAATGTCAGTAAATGCTCAGCTTTCCACTCAATGAGTTAAAGAATGATAACATGCTATTGGCTTTAGAAATGCTTGAGTAATAAATAATATTCTGATAAAAAGAAGACAACTTATCTTGTTCTAATCAATCCCAGACCTTTGGATATGGATTTCAGAGGGAATAAAACTAGTGAATACATTTTATTCTACTGGTAATGTAGCTGGAGGGTTATGCTGTATTATTGATTGGCTTGAATTAATAGTGTGCACTCTGAAAGATTTATGATCAGACAGTCTCCTAAGCTCTTAAAAATAGCATTCATTTCTAAAATTTATAGCTAATAACTAATATTTTCATTAGCCCAACTGTTTTTCTTGGCTCTCTTAAAAAACAAAAAAGCAAAATTAACTATCTTTTTTGCCACCCGCAATTATCTTGTGCTGGACCCCATGTTATTGATAGTATTAGGGATCTTGGACCTCATTTATAAGCAGCCATGGGTCATCTCTACTTTAATCATTCTCCGAGCTCAAGGTGGAATTTGAGTTTCACACTGTACTGCCTCAGCTCTGAAGCACTGTTAGGGGCTGCTAATGTGACCTTTCTAGAACTGGGAAAGTCAGTTAATCATTGTGTCTTTCTCAGCAGATTGGTTAAGTGTTCTTAGCAGGTTGGTTAAGTGCTACTGGTCACCCACCTCTGTGGCCAACACTTTTATTTTGGGCCTGAAAGACTCAGGCACAGGCAAGTTAACTTCCGCCCTAGGGACACCCTCTAGGTCAAACCTCTTTGGTGGCAGAGAAGGACGATTAGCTGGTGACCTCACTCCTGGACTATGACCTCATCAGCCTTTTCTTGCTTTACCTTGGCTGGCTTTAATGAGGTGGCAGAGCACTGAAGTGACAATGTCCAAACAACCAAAATGTCTTCCGTGGAATTAATATCGTCTCTGTTAATGTGGAAAATGACTGTCATCTTCTCAGAAAGAACATGTGTATTTGGGATCCATGCAACTAAATAAATAATGTTCCATTTCTGTGAGTTGTTCAAAATGAATGCACTGATGCCCCCTCAGTGACCACCCCTGCCTGTCCTCGTCAGAACTTGCTTTAGCTCCCCCCAAAGATACTCACTATTGAGATGAATAAAAGCATTAAAATATAATCATTTCATATAACTAACTTAATAATGCAGACATTTATATGTAAGACTCACTGATCACTTCCATAAGAACTATACAAAGGAAAATGCTGGGGGAGACTAGAATTTCTGTAAAGATTGGGAGATGGCCTTGTGAGAGTTTAGCTCTAAAGACTGAATTGTTAAGTGAATCCAGGCCAGTTGTGATTTTTTCTTTAGGGTGACTTGCTTGTTCATCAATAACTGGTGTGCTACCAAACGTTAGCCATTCCCTCTCTCTGTACACTCAGAATCCAGTCAGCCAGCTCAGGTTTCCTTGATCCCAATGTTGGGGGAGGTTCTGGAAGAAGGAACCTCCACCCAGGACATGAAGTGGGGAACAAGTTTGGTGAGAGACAACTCTGATATCTTAGGGACCTAGAAGGTGGACTCAAGGCATGACCTACAAAGGTGATCACCAGGTTACCACCCTGAGAATATCCCACATGTTGTACACTGCAGCCCTGGCTGCAATTTCCTCAAGAGTCCTAGAGACGAAGGCGATGATGACTTCACTTCTAGTTCTGCCTTCCTTACCTGGACCTGGTCACTCTGTGAACTTCTGTTCCTCATCTATAGCACCTACATGGGGTCTGTAGCCACATTGTTTTGTAAATAACTAAGAGGCCAGCTGACATTTAAACAGCCCCATGGAGAAATTTAGCTGGCACATATATAAAAAATGATGGTGGTGAGCCTGAAACATATTTCATGGGCACATTTAGGTCAAAATTCTGAAAGGGTTTGATGTCGAGATGTTATTTCGCAGATCTACACATTGTGAGACTTGCTGTTGTGGAGTAGAGCCTGGTTAGGCCTAATTCTGTAATAAGCTGATGTGTTTCTGAGTGAGGAGACTTAATGAGAGAAAGACTAGTTATTAGAAAACTCTTCTCTGGGTTGTATTGATCAAAGATGGAACATTCTCATTGGAAAAAATAAGTAATACAGTATATTAACATTACTGATGTATTTCTTATGTGTGTAAATTGTGTATAAAGGGTGCAGGTGCATAGTATATGCACTTGTGTGTAGGTATAGGTGGATCTGTGCACACAACTGTTCTCCAACTGTTTCCACTGGCTAAGTTTTCTGGAAAAGTAGGAGATTTGAGAAAAAATCGGAGGGGTTTAGGTGCAGTCCTCTGTATTCTATTTTTGTTTATAAACTAGACACACATTTTTACCATTGAAAGCCCCAATCTTTGGGATCCCTGTGATGGGTAACACTCAGGACGGAAAAAAGGGCCCTTTTGAAATCTTGGTGCTGAACATTTTGTAGGTGGTTGGGTTGCTGCGGTTCCCAGCTCCCTCCTGCCCACTCTGGGCTCCCACACACCAGAGCAGAAACTTTCCCTTTCACTGAACATGCACAAAAGTGGCTTCTGGATCTTTAGAACCTGCGGAGCCTTTGGTGTTCCTGAGAAAGCATGGACGGCCCACAGGTCTCCGGCTGTCCCCCGAAAAGCCTCAAGCGTCAAAACCTGCTGCGCTGTGCAGTCGGTTATATAACTTTATGGTTGCAGTTGATGGAGAGCACTATATTCCTGCTTCCTCAGAGCACAATGCATGGAAAATACTACCTACCTCATAGAAAGTAAAATCTGGGTGATGTTATAGTTATTTTTTCACACTTAGAACTGTTTTATAGAATGAAGGAAAATCACTTCTATCAGAAATACTAACCCATTGCAATGATGATAAATGATAGGATTCCCGTATTCCTGTTTTTCCCTCACTGGCTAAAAATAGCTATGATGTGTTTGGAAGTGGCTATTTTTTGCTGTTCTTGTAAAGGAAGAGGCTAATTGATGTATATTTGTATATATAGATCTGTTTTGGAAGCCCACGTGTGTCATAGTACATTAGAGGAAATAGACTTCTGTGTTAAATGAGTCTTTTAAAAGTTTTTTCTCCCCCATCCTGCCTGAAGAAAGCAAACAGCTTGGTAATGAACACAGTAGGAAGAAATTAAAGTTGTACATAATGTGTGCTCCTGGTGAATTGTTTATTCTGCTACTTAAATTCCTTGTGATATTTAAAATGTAGAGGAGGGGTGGTTACTGCTCTCTTCTTAAAATGAAGTGGGCTTTAATGACCTCACTCTGATCTCTTTGTTCATTATTCCAGCTTTCCTGAGCTCTTCATGGTTAATAGAAGTACTCAGAAAGCTCAGATGACATCTCTGTAGAACAGAAAACCAGGCAACTCAGCTAGTGATACCTTCTCGAAGGGGAGGAGGGTGTTTTAATTTCCTAATGTGGCCGTATGCCTTTGCAATGGTCAATACAGACAATGATGCATAGCTTAAGATGCTAAACCTCTCATACCATCACCTTTACTTAAAGAGGTGCAGAAATGCACTCAAAAGACACTTTGTGACCATCCTAGGTATTTCAGTGAAATGTGACATGTCCCAAGAGGGGCGCTGAGATTAAGTTGGAACCCAACAGTGTGACAGCATAATCCCATCTTCCAATCTGGGGTCTCTCTTGAGAAATAGAACAAATGCATCCTCCTCAGCACTCAGATCCCGTCAGCATAGAGTCGCGAGCCCTCAGAGAACTCACAGGTGTCGGGGATATAGACATTGCAGTTGATGATGACCTCTTGTTCACAAGCAAAAGATTCCCATTGTAGAATCCTATAAAGAAAGTACTTCTCATGCTTATGTAAAGAAGTTTTCCACATCTCCGGATCTAGCTGTCCGTCTGTGCTACTGACTAAACCCCACTTCTGGGGTCTGCTGTAGAAAGTATGTGGCTTGGCATTGTACGCACGAAGATGAGAGTCTCTGACCCGAAGACTTTTTCATTTACTACAGGTGTTCTAGCTGTCTCAACTTCTTCCTGGGCAGTTGTTAAGTCAGGACAAATTCCATCTCTTGCGACCATCAGCTCACCAGCTACTACACAGCACCTCTCTTTGGAACAACCAACTCCACAAGCCAGAAGAGGCTCTCCAGGTACTGGATTTCTTAGCTCTGGGTTGTGCTCCTACTTCAATCCCCTGCTCCCTCCTCTGAGTCTTACCTGTATCATGTCCTCCCAACCCCCACCTCCAAAGTTCACATTTCTGAAGTGGGATATATCTTAAAGTTAGTGTGTTCCTTGAAGGTGGTTATACTTTCTTCTTTCCTGCTTCAAAGAAGCTGTTCATGAAGGGCTGGTGTATCTAGAACCATGGAATTATGGTATCATCTTTAGAAATTTGAACATAAGAAAACCAAAGAATACTTAACTTCAGGGAGAGTTCCTATGAAAGGTTGTCTTTCTTATTTTGATTGTGATTGATTTTCTATGAATTCCTTCTCTCAGTTTCTAGAAAACTGTGAAAGCCAGGACCTGAGGTTCAGCATTTCAGTGCTCACTTAAGCCATTAGCAGCTTCTGAAACCTCCCCTTTCTCTCAATTTCTTCTTTTTGCTCTCCTTTCCCTTCACACAGCCAAACTAGTTTATGAGAGGGAGAGCTGTTCTGAGAGGTTCAAAAATAGATCTTGTGGTTGATGTGAGTGAGGGGGAGGTTCAGAGTGGCTTAGCTGAAGAATCGAGCAATAATTTCTGGTTTTATGTAAGGGTGGAGATATGTATGTGTCTTTCACATGTTGGTGAAAGGAGTAGAATACAATAATGATAGGATGCTTCAATTACATAATTAACAACTATCTTGGAAAACCCTGATCCATCCCACAATAAAACCTGCTTTACGTGTCCTGTAGATATGCTGATCCTTTGGCTATAAATTCCCTAGTGCAGGTCATGAATAAAGGAAT